TTCCCAAAATTCAAAATTTTTGGATAATAATTTCCTTTTTTTTAATAAATTTTTTACCTCTTTTTTTTAAAAACGGCTTTTTGGGGTTTTACAAAAAAACTTTTTTCCTTTTCCAAAAAATTTTAATTTCGGGGTTATTAAACCCAATTTAAAATTTAAAATAAAATAAAAAATTTTTTTTTATTTTTACTTTATAAAATTTTATTTTTGTGAAAAAATTTTTATTTAAAAAGTTTTAACAAATATTATTTGGCCAAAATCATTGTAAAATAATATCCAAAAAAAAATAGTTTAAATTTTTTCGGAAAAAAAAATTTTTGAAAGGTCAAAAAAAAAAACTTTTTTCTTTAAAAAATTTTAATTTTCCAGGAATTTTTTAAAAGAAGTCTTTATTTTTTGCTTGAGCAAAGTTAGAAAAAAGTGAAGTATTACTTTATCGATAAAATTTTTTTTTGAAGTTTATGAAAGAAAAGGTTTTTAAAAGCCCAAAGCGAAAAAATTTTTTCAGAATTATAAATGGAAAATTAAAAATAATGCCCCAATGGACAAAAATTTAGTTTTCCAAGACCCAATCAAGGTAAATTGGAAAAATAGTAAAATTTTTATTAAAGCAAATCGATTAGAAATGTTTTTTTCTAGCATTTGATGGGCCTTAAAACGCTTTCCCCCCCCCCCCCCCCCCCCCCCTTGCAAAAACCCAGAAAGTCAGGGAATGGTTGGTAATTTTTCAAAACCTTTGGTTAGCCAATAAAAATAAAATTTAGAATTGAAAAGAATTTATTTCCATTTTTCATCAAAAAAATTTTTGAAGCAAAATTTTTTCCCCGGGTTACCCCAAATAAATTGGAAAGGGATCTTTGAAAAATAAAAGGGGTTTGAAAACCTGGAAAGACTTCGAAGGGATGCTCCATTTTTTCCAAAGAAAATACGCAAGAACCCAAAGAGGATCGTAAGTAAAGATTTTGGAAAAGGAAAGAATCAATAAAAATATTAAAAAAAATTTTGGGATTTTTTTTAAAAAGAAGAACTGGTTTTTTGAATTTGAATAATAATAAATTATGGAATTTTTAAAAGGATCTTAATAATGAAAAAAGAACTTTTTTACTACAAAAGGGGAAAACCAAGTTTCAGGGGGGGGTTTTTTTATTAATCTAATTTAAATGTAAAAAAGTTGTCCCAAAAAAGAAAATTTGAAGGGGTTGATCGTAAATTATTTTTTCCCCCTTTCTTTTTCGGGGAAAAAAACGCAAAGCAAGGAATTCCAAAAATTTTTGGGATTTTTGGACTTACTTGCGAATAAAATTTTTGGTTTAAAAAAATGGAGTTTTTTAATTTTTGGAAAAAATCAAATATTCTTTGGGAAATTGGGTTTTAAAATTTCAATTTTTAAGCTTTTTTTTATTGATTTTCCCAAAAAAAGGGATTTTTTAAAACCTGAATGGCGTTTTTAACCCCTAAAAAGTGGAAATAAGAAGTTTTTTGTATTATTAGCCTAAATTTTAATTTTCCTTTTTTAAATTTTCTATTTAATAAAATAAATTTGGGGGGGGGTTTTTTCAATAACAATCAACATCAAAACGGTTTTATAGTACCAAAACAATAAACCCTGGATCAAATTAAAACTTATAGCAGATTTTTCCTCCTTTTTATTTTTTAATATTTATGTTCGTTTTATTATAGGTAAAAGTGATTAAAAATTTTACTTTTTTTTACCCAATTTTTTTTTTGGAAAAAAAAATTTTTTTTCAATATTGTTTTTTTTCCCCAAAACTTTATAATAAAGGGGTTTATTTGGATTTTTAAAAAAATCAAGCACATCTGGGAGAAACCTTTCCCTATTGGGCACTAAAATTTTTTAACGAATTAGATCGGGAATTTAAAACTAAGAAGGAAGTGTTGTTTTTCTTTTATAAAAAAATGAAATTAATTGGCGGGGGCCCTATCCATTTATTAATTTCACCCCTTGGCTGGTTTGCCCCTTTCATAACTTAAAAGGGGGACCAACCCGGAAAGAAAAAAAATTTTCTCAAAACTCTTAATTGATAGGGACATGTATTTTTTCCCTTTCTTTCCCCTTTTCAGGATCGTGTGGTCTTCCAAACTTTCCCGGGGGTATGGACGAATCCTCGTTCTTTAAAAATGTGTAAAAGACCCTAGCCGCACAAAAAGGCCGGTTACTCTACGTTGAGTTAGCAACCAAATAGAAAAGGGGTATGTAGATAAAATCAGAAAAAAACCAAAATGATTAAAAAAAGCTTTAAAACTAAGAAAAAAAATTTAATTATTTAAAACAAAAAAAATGACTAAACGGATGAAAAAAAAAAAAATTTCCCGATCCAAAAAAAAAAAGTAAAAAATGCTAGACCTCCCTATTTTATGTTATCCACTTTTTCAATCAAAAATTCGGGTATCAAAGAAATCTGACGCCCCCCTCATTTGAATAAAAAGGTAAAAAATAAAACCTATGGGACGGAAATAAATAGGTGCTTATAAAGGGAAAATTATTTGTTCGATAAAATTTTGTCAAATAAAGGTTAAGAAAAGAATAAAATGGAAAAAATACAAAAACTTAAATTGAAATAATAGTAAAAAAAGGATTGTGTTGGTTTGGGGAATACAAAATATACAAAATTTTTTTTGGTTTATAGGGGAAAATAAATAAAGAAGAATTAGAAAAAGGATTTTGGAATGAATAGTGTATTGAATCCTATAAGCAAAAATAAAGAATTCGTTCCTTGTTTTTATTGGTATTAGGTTCGAATGAAAACCCCCCCCGATTGCAGGTAATCCATTAATTTTCTATTTTGTGAGGATCAATCAATAATAAAAAGTTTCTATAAAAGTTAATGATAAATAGATACGAATAGAGCAAGAAAAAAAGGGAAAATAAAAACATAGTATAGAAAGATATCAAAATTTTTATAGAAATCCACTATCTCCCTTTTAAGGTTTTTATTTCCTTATTTAATTGAATTTCGCTTGATTAGGGCAAAGTTCTTAAAAACCTCTGCCTTTTTTAAAAATTCCTGAACGGGTTCCTGTGGCCTGAGCCCCCTTTTTTCAAGGAAATAGAGGAATAGCGGGAACGTTTAAATTAAGTTTGATCTTGATCGGATCTAAAAACCCACTTTCCAAAGATCTTTCTTTCTCTTGGGATCGAAATCATTGAACGATTCGATAGAAAGGTCTCGGGATAGATTTTAGATGAAAAGACCCCCCCTTGAACCGTTATTTAAGGAATTTTTCTCTTCGTACGGCTCGAGAAAAATGATTCAAAAGTTTTTTCTATGGATAAAATTAGAAAAAATAGGAAAGGAATCGTAAAAGAATTGCCTATAAATTTAACTCATATTTATTTAGCACCCTTCCTGAAAAATTACAAAATTTTGTTACTTAATCAAGTTGAATTTTTAATTCTCAAATCTTAAAGATTTTTCTTTAAGATATTTTTTTTATTGAGTGGTCTTTAACCCCCTTTTGTCTCGTTTAAAATCTGTTTGGATTTTTATCTGGTTTCCGTGAGACAATTAAGTGGGTTTCCTTGTTCTGGGATCCTTTATCTTTGTTTTAAATCCTTGGGTTTAGACATATTTCGGTGCTTCTTATTTTTCCAAATGTAGCAAAACCCTTTTGTTAAATTTCTTTCTATCAAAGAATCATACGCGGTTGATTCGCGCGGGGTACTGTGTTTCAAAAACGTTTTAGCCGTTCCAAAAATTTTTTTTTAAATTAAATTTGCTCGGAAATCGGATCCTTTGAATTCTATATCGAGATTACTTACGAAGTTTTTCCCAAAATTTATGATTGGCATTAAACCTAGATCTGTCCGGGAGAAATTAATAAATTTACTTTCTACTCGGGGCTCCATCGTGAACTATTTTACATTAAAAACCAAATAAAAAAAAAGGGTTCTAGTTAGAATAGAACAAACGACGTCGAGCAAAAAGCACTCCTATTCTATATAAAATGGCGGTTTGTAGGAATAAGAATCCACACGGATGTGCCTTCAAGTCGCACGTTGTTTTCTACCACATCGTTTAAACGAAGTTTTTTACCATAACATTCCTCTAATTTGGAACCAGTATGGAATTGATTCAATTATGAATCATGAATAGTCTTTGGGTTTCAGTCGTACAGAGTCATAGTAATTTTATTTTTTTCTTATCTCCATAGATAAAAAATACTTTCTGAAAAAATCTTAGCAAAAACCCCGGCTTTTTTGTACAAAGGAATTTTTCTTTTAAATCTCTTTCTAAAATTTTCTATAAATTCTATCTAAAAAAAATTATTAATAGATTATGCAGAAATATAAATATAGAATTAACATAACTAACGAAATAACACGAATTAAATAAATTTTTATTTGACTTGCCTCTTCAAGTGACTCAATAAGATTAGCGGGACCCTTTCCCAAAACTTCCAAAGATTCAACCCAAAAGGGAAAATCTTTTCAATTTGTTAATTGAAAAAGTTCCTACTTTAAACATCTTATTTGAGTCAAGTTTACGTAAAAAATCTATTTTATTATCTAAGAAATAATTTCTGTTTCTTTTGAATCGAATTGTAAATGATTTAAAGAAATAAGTAAATTGATCGAACAAAAAAAAATAAATATCATTGTTAAATATTTCATTTTAATATTTTGGTGAATTATTTTTCACAAAATAGCAGACTATTGTCCTGAAATAGGATAAAATACATACCTTATAGACTAGCACTTCCTCGTTTTATAGTATTTTCATATTTTGTTAATCTGAGGTTAAGAATTCTTTCTGAAACTGTGATCTAGGTCGCATCTTATCTGGATCACAAAAAGGATTCAGTTACATTTGCATGTCATTTGAACCAGATTTAGTTCAGTTTTTTGAAAAACTGAGAGATGATTACAAAAGAATCATTCCCAAAATCAGAAAGAAGAAGAATCATATTCTATCCAATATTAGCCTTGAAACGAATTGTTGAACAAAAAAAAGCTGTATTTCGTATACAATAGATATGCTCTGGGCGGAAGGGATTCGAATCGGGGTTGCGGGACCAAAACCCGTTGCTTTACCACTTGGCTACCCCCATTATATTTTTTTTGGGAACTAATACTAATAAAGAATAATTATTGGTATTAAGTGTTTCGTCATTCCAGTCCAACTATCTTTATAAATCTTTATTCTTTATAGAATGTATTATAGATTCATGCTGATTTTGACATGTGTATTCTGATAGAATTAAACGGAATTATTGATCATTCATAAAATTCAATTAAGTATTTATGAATTATGATTTTTCTTTTCTCCTTTGAGATTGGAGGATTTTTGATTGGGCGGAAAAAGAAGGATTTTTTTGTTACCTTATTTTTCATTTTCCTTATATCAATAACTCAAATCAAAATGCAATTATCTCGACGAACAAAAGTCTGTTATGTTAATATCTTTAGTTTGATCTGTTTAATTCTGCCCTTTTATCCGAGTAGTTTTTCTTCGCAAATTTCCCCCGAAGCCTATGCTTTTTTGAATCAATCGTAGATGTTATGCCAGTAATACCCTTTGTTCTTTTTTCTTTTAGCCTTGTTTGCAAGGGGCTGGAAATTGAGAATAAGGAAATTGAAAAGGATTTTTGGTTAAAAAAGAATTAAAAAACTGTTTAAAAAGTATCAATTTGTATTTTTTTAAAGTCTTTAGGAAAACCCAAAATTTTTTAGATTCAAACCCAAGAACCTTCGGGAAATTTTCCAGTCAACGAATATTTTAAGGGTTTCCCCAATTTTGTCAAAAAATTTTGGTTTTTTTTTTTGGGTAAAAATTATACTTTTGTTTTTTTCAATAGAAAAGCGAGGGGAATTTTTTTTCCGGTTTTTGGGGTGCTTTTTGGGGATACTATACCCCCCAACGAAGGGGTGGATGCAAGAATTTTTATTTCCCCCAAAATTCATCTTTTTTTTTAATTTCAAAATAATCGGGATTTAACCCCATAGAGATAAATAAATTTTCACCTGTAATTTGAAGGGCTTTCCCCCTATCGATGTTTTGAATCGGATCAATATCATGAATAAAAATATCTGACCTTTAAAATTAATTCGTTTTGGAAATTTGAATGTATAAAATTACGAAGTTTCTTTTACTATAGGAACCCAAGTTATTCCTGCCCCAAAAAATCCAAAAATTTTTTTTTTTACCCTTTTTTCAAAACCCCTTTATTAGGTTTTCCCTTGTAAAAATAAAAAAAAGTGATCAAAACCATCGCCCGTTTTTAAAAAACCCCCAAAAAAACAATCAAAGCAAAGGGGGAAAAAAGGGAGAGGAATTAGGTTTAAAGGGGTTTTTTTTTTAAATGACCCAATTTTTTTTGGAAAGGGGAAAAAAAGTATGATAAAGTTGGTTTTCGGGGAGAAAGAGGGAAATATTCTATAAATTCACTTTTTTTGGGAAATTTTATTTTTTTTTGGGTTTTTGTTTTTTTGAAAAATTTAAAAAAAAAAGGGGGGAAAGACCTTGGGAAATTCAATTCGTCTCTGCCCCTTTTTTAAAGGGAAAAAGGAAAGAGGCAATTGTTTGTATTTTTGGGCCCCCGGTGGGACTGACGGGGCCGAACCCGAAACCCCCCCTTAAAGGGGGGGTGTCTTCCCTTTTTTGAACTAAAACCCCGGGGGAAATAGAAGGGATTAGCAGAAAATTTCTTTTTTTTATTTTTTATCGGGCCCCCTTAAAGAAAAGGGGGGTTTTTCTCCCTTTGTGGTAGTTTGGGGAAATTTTTTGGGGGCCGAGTGGATTTAAAAGGGGTAGAATATTGTAACGTTTACAGTGTTTTAAAACCCCTGGGCTTTCGCCCCAAGAAATTAAATTTTAGACGAAAAAAAATTTTAAAATTTTCCTTTTAGAGACTGAAAATGTATTTCTATGGGTTGTTTCCCCCAGAGGGGTTTGAATGTTTTTCCCCGTGAAAGGAGAAGTGAAGTGGCCCATGGGGGGAAAGGAAGCTTTAAGGAAAATACCAAAAATCGTTAGTTATTTCCCCTAGTACGCCCCTTTGGGAAAATGAATAGGATAGAAAGAAAAGAATGGGTTAAAGAGTAAATAGAAAAATTTGGATAAAGAAAGATCGTTAATCTTTGGGGGTTAATGGAAAACAAACTTTCCCTTTAAAAATTTTAAAAATCTGAAATGAAAGAGAGAAAGCCAATGAAATAAAGTTTTGAATAAAACCCAAAAAATGGTGAAAAATTTCTTTTTTTTGTTTTTTTTTTCCCCCAATTTTTAGCCGGTAAAACAATTTTTGATTGTTTAATAACCAAAGTTTTGATATTCTAAAAAAATCCTAAAACATAGTAAGCTAAGTGGGAGAATTCTGTTTTAGGACTGTTTTGTCAATTCCTTTTCCTTTTGGATCTCTTTAAAAATGGCAATTTAAGTTAAGTATAAATTTTATTCCAACCTATCTCACAGATTCCAGTCAAAGATTCATAGAATCGAAATTCCGTCGTTGTTAGATCTATAGGTTTGATGGATAATGAGCCAGCCAAAATGGTATTTATTTTTGTTTTTGTTTTTTGGAGAATTCGATATGGATGGTATAAATACTGAAATTTCAAAAGAATCTGGGATAGACGCAATGCCCACAATCCCTGGATTTAATCAGATAAAATTTAAAGGATTTGTAGGTTCTTTGATAGGGTTTGACAGAAGAAACTTTCTAAGTTTCCAAAAATGAAGATACAAATCAAAAAATTTGGGACTTTAAATTTTTTTGGAAGATTTTAAATTGGTAAAACCCCCTGATAACGGAAAAGATGTGTGTATGAATCACTACATTTCTTTGAATTATTGTATCCGCGAGACTTTTTTGGAAAAAAAGATAGGGTGGTTTATCCGAAAAACTTTTTGATGGGAAAAGTTCCCTTAAGCTTTTTGGGGTTTTTTATGGGGGGGGGGGGGGGGGGGGGGGGGGGGGGGGGGGGGGGGGGGGGGGGGGGGGGGGGGGGAAAAAAAAAAAAAAAAAAAAAAAAAAAAAAAAAAAAAAAAAAAAAAAAAAAAAAAAAAAAAAAAAAAAAAAAAAAAAAAAAAAAAAAAAAAAAAAAAAAAAAATTTTGGTCGACGAATATGAATCGGAGACTAAATTGATATACCCAGAACAATACATTTTTGTTGCCGCGGATTTTGGGGCAGCCGGGGATGTTTGATTCGAATAAAATTTGGAATGGGTCCCTTTGATGTATGATTTTTGAAAAATAAAGTATCTTTCTGTACCCGATCTTTTAAAGAGAAATTTTGGTTGGCCCTTTGGTTGTTTAAAAAGTTGGCTCGAGGAAAAATATGCAGACTTAAGATAATGGATACCAACCCCTCAGAACTTAGTAAATTCAACCCTTAACAGGTACTTAAAAAGCCTTTTTCCGTTTACACCCCATTATCTAAAGTTTTGGATCGAACAATCCATTGAAAAAATAGTTCATGGGAGAAAATTGGTTATTTGGGCCCGGGGGGATTGACTGCGCAAAATGCTACTTTTCCAATACGAGTATTCACCCTGTCACTTGGGGTATTTCCCCAATTGACAACTGAAGGAATAAATGTTGGTTTTATTGGTCCTTGAAAATTCATGCGGGGGATTGGTCGTTGGGGGTCTCTAAAAAGCCCTTTTTATAAAATTTCTGGGATCAAAAGGGGCCCGGATGCTTTATTATCACGGGAGGATGAATACTATTGGTAGGCGGGAAATTTTTTGGGCCCTTTAAAATCAGGGTATTCAGGAGAACGGTTGTTCAGCTCATATCGTAAGAATTCCTGACTTTTTGCTGGGAAAGGTTCATTTCGAAGTTTTTTTCCCTTCCCAATATTTTTCTATTGGGAGCTTCCCTCATTTTTTTTTTGAGCAAAATGGGGAAATCGGGCTTTAAGGTTCTAACATGCAACGTAAAGCGGGGCCCTCTTTCTCAGCCCGAGAAGTGCTTTGTTGGAATGGTTGGGAAAGGGCCCCAAGGGCTCTAGATTCAGGGGCTCTTGCTATAGGAACACGAGGGAAAGTTTCTTTTTACGATGCTGACAAGATCCTTTTATCGGTAAGGAGATACTCAAAGCATTCCTTTTGTTAGTATAACGTTCCAACAAAAACTTGTATGCATAAAAAAAACCCGGGTTCGGCAGGGTAAAATGCATTAAAAAGGGAAAAATTTTTAGGGTATGGTGTTTGTACAGTTGGTGGCGAACTCGCTTTGGGGAAAAAAAGTATTAGGGCTTATATGCCAGGGAAGGTTAAAATTTTTAAAGGGGAGCAGTTCATTGCGAGCGCTTTGTTTTATGAAGATTTTATACTTTTTTCACATACGTAATATAAAATTCAGATTAACAAGGCGCCAAAAGGGTCACAAAGAAATCCCGCATTTAGAAGCCATTTACTCCGAAATTTAGAAAAAAAATTGGATTGTAATGCTGGATCTTGGGTGGAAACAGGTGAATTTTAGTAGGTAAATTAAACGCCCCAAATGGTGAAAAAAAAGTGTACCCCCGAAGAAGTTGTTACGAACCATACTTGGCATGGGGTTTAACTTCAAAAAAATTGTCTAAAACTCCTTAGGGGGGGGGGTGGGTTATTGGTGAGATGGGTCATAGTTCTAAGACAGATGAGACAGATAAGACAGAAGGTTCGTTTTTATTTTAAAGAAACGTGAAATCAAAGTGGGCGATAAGTAGTGGAAAACATGGAAATAAGGGTTCGTTCAAAAATTTTGCCTAGACAAGATATGCCTTATTTGAAAGGGGAAAGCCCTGTTGATATGGGTCTTCAACCCATTAGGGTACCTTCAGAATGAATGTGGAAAATATTTGAATTTTCACTCGGGTTGGGGGGGGGTTGCTAGACAGAATTATCAAATGCGCTTTTGTAGAGTATGAACAAGAAGTTCGAAAAACTGGTGTTTTTAAATTATATGAACCCCAGTAAGCAAAAGCAAATCCCTGGGTATTTAAACCCAAAAGGTTCCGGGGAAAAGAAAATATTTGAGGGAAAGAAGGGGGGGACCTTTTGAAAACCTGTTATAATAGGAAAGCCTTATTCTTAAAAATTAATTCATCAGTTGTAAAAT